GAAAGTTTAAAGGAAAACCTCACTGAAATACAAAAGATTTGAATCACATCTCATTACATACAGTGAAATCAGTTAACTCTTTAAAAACGTGTCTTAACTACTGTACAAAAGAGTGAAAATGAAATACTAGGACATATGAGCTGTAGCTCAGACTGCCGAGGGGCTGATACATCCCTGGTATTGCTGCTGTTTTATACAATACACAGAAATGAGCCTGGAGATTGACACAATGGCTTGAGTCAGGTTATATTAGGGGTCAATATGGCTCAGATAATGCAACTTGCTGTAATCCCAGCTTGGATGGGGATTGAACCTTACATCTTGGGACCTATAAATGGTAACCTCTTCTGTCTGAATTAAAAGGAGTGCAGCAGACACCTAAACTTCTATACAATGTAATTGGCATAGGGGACAGAGAGCCACTTTTTGTTAGGATGCATTAAACCATCATTGGAAAGCGTGACAAAATCAGGGGAGTTTCCCAGTTTGTCTGGGAAGTTGGTTCCTGCCCCATCTGATTCCTCTTTTAACAGAAAAGTGATTTTTTTTCATACAGCAACAAAAAGTATTTTCCAACTGTTAAACCTCTTTGCACTTCTGGGGTGTGACTCCTACTGTCCCCATTGCACAGAGGGGAACGAATTGAAGCAGAGAGAGAGAAAGCAACTCATCCAAGATCAGGCAGGGAGTTAGTTTGGTCTCTTCCACAATCTAGAACCCAGGAGCCTAGTATTTCCCTCATCTTATAGGATTTAAGTAACTCCCACTGAAGTCAATAGGAATGGATGGTGTGCTATAGGAGGAGGAACCGGGAAGCTGAACATTGAGTCCTTTGCTGTATTTCAAAGCAGTGGCAATGCCATTTGTTACAGAATGCAAGTGTCTAATGTGCCAAGGAGACTTCTCCTTATTGCTTGGTTCTCCTGCTGTGGCTGCAGGACCATATGCCTTTGGAAGCCGTGGCAGGGGAAACCAAGCAGTTTCTTTGGTCAGACTTTGGAGCTGGGAGACTGACACAATGAGTTTAATCCATGTGTGCAGCTTTTATGGAATCTTTTAAACTGACAAAACCTTTGTGTTGTTTTCACTGTGTAGGCCCGTCAGTTGATCCTCCAGCATGGCTTAACCTTAAGTGACCTGGACAGGCATCCAGAGGTAAGGGAACTGAAGAAATGAAATATTTTTGTATCTGTAGAGCATCGATAATGTCTCCTGCAGAAGGGACCAGGCTAGTGTGTTGAGATAATGCACTGCCCTTTCAGCTGTCAGGACCCAGGTTTGGACTGCATGCTAGGTCACAGGTGGAAATGAGCCCGGTGTGTGTTAGTCCTGGTTTACACACATTGCAGAACTGCAAGCTGGTTGAGCATCTGCTCAGGAGAGAGCCAGGGATGCACTGAAAGAAGGTGTACAAGTTAGAGTGGAGATCCAGGATATGGGCTGCCAGAAACTTGTTCTGGCAACTTCTGGCCAATTCATTTGACCTCTTGATTTCATGAGCACTAAATCCACTCTGTAATCCTGAACAAACATGAAATTAAGTAAAGCAGAAGGTCCTTGACATGGCGTGTTGGAATTTGACCAGGACTCGGAAAGGAGAGGTGTGGGTTGAAGCTAACAACTCCTCCCTAGGTAAAGATTCAGTGGCACCTCTAGCAGCCCATGCTGTGTGTCAATTCAGCACTGATCTGGAGTGAATAGTACAAGCTGCTGAGTCACTACCACATCCTGCAGTACCTGTGTTTTCCAGGATCCTCCTCCTTCATGTACTGGCCCTACTTGTCTTACAAGACGAGACAAGCTCCGCAGCTTGAGGTGGTGTGCTAGGTTAGAGCCAGACTTGTTTTCACTGCCTGTGGTTTATCTGTGGCTGCTTATCTGATTGTAAATGTTTTCCATAAGCTCTGGTATTGAGCCATCTTGCCTTGAGTCTTCCCAGAGCTGGTTTTCAGTGCACTCTACATGCCTTCTAGACATCACTGATTGTTTCCAAGAGTGTGTTGGGTTCAGTTGGGTGTTGGTTGGACTCTCTCCATGTTGCATCAGGCCTCCTGCTGGCAGTAGCGTGCTTTACTGTGCACAAACGTGGGCAGTTGTTAGCAGATACACGCGTTACAGGACTGAGTGCAGCTGTGCATACAGCAGGTGCCTGCTCCAAGCCAGCTTTCATGAAGAGTAAACTTGTTTCCCAAAATTTCCAAGCCATGCTTTCTTTTCCCACAGCTCGATGTTGCCATTGACGGAGCTGACGAAGTGGACTCTGAGCTCAGCCTTATCAAAGGTGGCGGGTAAGTAATGCCTCCTTTTATCTGCTCGCAGCTGCAGTGTGGCAGGCAGAAACACACAGATTAATCTACTTGTGCTATTAAAAATGATTCTGTGACAGTAGCATAGAGAGGCCTGAATTGAAATCCGGGGCCCTCTGTTGAAAAACTTGGGGTATGTCTACACTACCACCCTAGTTCGAACTAGGGTGGTTAATGTAGTCATTCGAAGTTGCAAATGAAGCCCGGGATTTAAATATCCCGGGCTTCATTTGCATCTTGCTGGGCGCCGCCATTTTAAAATCCCCGTTAGTGCAGACTCCGTGCCCGCGGCTACACGCGGCACGGACTAGGTAGTTCGGATTAGGCTTCCTACTACGCGTAACGGTAGTTCGAATTAGAAAGCCTAATTCGAACTACCTAGTCCGTGCCGCGTGTAGCCGCGGGCACGGAGTCCGCACTAACGGGGATTTAAAAATGGCGGCGCCCGACAAGATGCAAATGAAGCCTGGGATATTTAAATCCCGGGCTTCATTTGCAACTTCGAATGGCTACATTAACCACCCTAGTTCAAACTAGGGTGGTAGTGTAGACATACCCCTGGTGAGAGACAGTGTCTGACCCAAAGACCTTACAATCCAAATATGACCTCGGGCGGAAGTGGGAGTAAAAACAGCATCGAGTGAGACAAGCAGGGATTGCTTTGGGTTGAGGCTTTGCTAAGGTTGATGGGGATATTTTTCATTTTTTTCACACAGATCGGTCAGGAGCAGGTTTGTGTTTCTAGGATTCCATGGAAGTCAGTGCCTCAAACGGTGTCACAATTGACAATCCTAGATATCCCTCCAGCAGGTCTCATCATATTGGCCTGTCCATCCCTGTGCCTCACCCTGGGCCTGATGGGGCCACTTGTAGCAGTTGAGAGAATGCCGTCTATGTCCCTGGTGTCTGTGCTAAGTTCCCTTTGGGCAGAGTCTTTGTATGTTCACATGCTCGGTTGCTTGCCATCACCTGGGTGACCGTGGCCATGTCAGGTACCTTTCACATACACTAACTTACATTAGGTTTATGAGAAGAGGGACCTCCAGAATGAGTGGGGAGACTTGAGGGATACTGCCAATCTTTGGGCCCATCCACTCCTTACAAGGTCAGTTTAATGTGTTCACTTCTTAATTTTCTTCACAGAGGCTGCTTGACACAGGAAAAGATAGTTGCAGGCTATGCAAAATGTTTCATTGTCATTGCTGACTACAGGTAAAATACATCCTGCACTTCATTCCCAGGGGTGGAGATAGAGGGTCAAATTCTGTCATAGCTAAATATGTCAGCTCGTTCCCTGAGTGAGCGCATTGTTTTGCTTCCAACAAAGTCAGTGGACACTTGGCCCTAGATGTCATTGGGAAGAGGATCGGGTTGAAGTGAGCCTAAACTTACTGACACCTCATGAATTGAATTTTGGCGTTTTTTGTCAATTGGCAAACCCCCACTGGTCCCAAATGGGCGAACATGCTTGCTTCAGAATTCATCAGTGCCCCTGCCTTCTCACCTTTCCCACTTGGCAGGGCATCGACATTCTGCTCTTATGCTAACTTCCATCTCTGTTATGTGGGATAATAGAAAACTAACCTGCAGTCTTTTTGGATAAGTCTGGATAGTTAATTGAACAAATCCTATGGCCTGTGTTAAATAGGAAGTCAAGCTAGATGATCTAATGGTCCCATTTGGCCTTAAAATCTGAATCTGTCTCAAGAAAGATTTGAATGGTGCCTTCAGCCTTCTGCTAGTCCTCTGAATTACCCCTAAAGCAGCAGTGGCCGACCCGTGGCTCACGAGCCACATGTGGCTCTTGCCCCCCAAAAGTGCGGCTTGCAAAGCTGCTCCTGCACCCCCCCAGTAGTCCCCTGCTGGCTTCCTTCCCCCAGCTTCCCTGTGCTTACCGGTCGGAGCTCCGGGGTTTTAAAAATTGTGCCCAATATAGTGGCTGTCACGGGCAGTCTCCTTTTTTTAAAAAAAATATATTTATATTTTTATATATGTATTTTGATAGTTCTGTTCAGGTGGACTGCTTCTCTCTCCCCCCCGCCCCCCCGACAATTCTGGTGCGGCTCCTCACATTTTTTCTGCTGCTGTTTTGGCTCTCTTTGTTAAATGGATTGGCCACCCCTGCCCTAAAGGATCTGGATGTTGTGCCCTTTGGGACTTTGTGTGTGTGTGTGTGTGTGTGTGTGTGTGTTTAACTGTTTATAAAATATAATTTGACAATAAATTATTATTTTATTATATTTTCAGTGCTGTCATGTTAATATTAATCCCGTTTCCAACCAATTTCCTGTAGAAAAAATTCTAAGAACCTTGGGGAGCAGTGGAAGAAAGGAATCCCCATTGAAGTCATTCCAATGGCTTATGTCCCAGTCACCAGAGCACTGACCAGGAATTTTGGTGGTGTTGCTGAGCTGAGGATGGCTGTTCGTAAAGCGGTTAGTATGGTCAGAGGTCACTGAAGAAGGCCACTCCCCCATGTGGACATGTGCGGAGCGTGGCAAATGTGATGGATAATGTCTATGTGGACATATGCATTATGTTTTTGAATGTTTATAAAAAAACAAAACTCTTGGCTTAAATTTTCAAAATTGGCTAGTGACTTCACGTGTTTGATTCCTGAGCATCCCCTTTTGAAACTCAGACCTCTTTATGGTGGTTCAGGAAATACAGCAAAACAATGTTCCATACATTTTTTGTTTCAGAAAGTGGTGGAAATACCAAGAGGCACAGATATTTTAGACTTGATTCTGACTAACAGAAAAATGGGTTGTGAATCTTGAAAATTCTAGGCAGTTCAACTGAAAGTGATTGTGAAGTGATCGATATGGTTCTAAGGAAAGTAATGAACGAGCGCAGCAGGATCAGAACATTGGACTTCAAAAAAGCAGACGAATAAATTTAGAGAACAGCTAGGTGAGGTCTGCTGAGAAGGAAATCTTAGAGGGAAAAGGAATTCCAGAGGATTCCCAGATTCCCAGAGACAGTAATAAAGGCACAATGGTAAACTATCCTGCTATGAAGGAAAGGTAGGAAAAATAGTAAGAGGCCAAGATGGCTCCATCAGGAGCTCCTTAATAACCTGAAAATCAGCAGAGAGTCTTACAAAAAGTGAAAATAGGGTCAAATTGCTAAGAGGAATTCAAAAGAACAATACAAACGTGGGGACAAAATTAGAAAGGCTGAGGCATTGCAAGAGAGCTAAAGGCAGCTCTGGCCGGCGTCTGTACTTGTACTATTCTATGTAGCTGGAGTTGCATACTTTAAATCGACCTTCCAGAGGACTCAGCTTAAGGGATTTACTCCAGCACACAGATGTTCACTCCCCTCCCCACTTGGTGTACAAACCTAAAGATATATGAAGTTCACCTCCTTCCTTGTTGTGAAGGAAGATATGCACAATCTCTCGCACCCTTCTGCCCAGTTAGAAATTACATTAACTGGGTTAAATTATAAACCAGAAATAAGTTTAAGTTAAGAACTGGCATGTTCTGTTGAGCATGTCTTCCAATCTCTGTGCAGAATGTGACTAAGAGCCATGTAATAGCAGTATCATCTTGTATGGCTGAAGGCAGTAGGAATTCTGCCATTGACTTCAGTGGGAGCAGATTCATCTCACAAGTACATAGCTTGGTGAAGGGGGACCAGAAACGTATCTAGGTGCTTTCCATAGTCCATAGATCCACAAGACCAGATGTAAACTGGATAACTTTGTGCTCGTTTTTTGCTGTTCTCCCTCCCAACTCCGCCATGCAGACCAATGAGCGGAGCAGTTATATACTTGAATAATAGCAATTTTCTTTTTTTTAAACTTTCTGTTTAAAAAAACATTTTTTTTTAAACATTTATTTCTAATGGAAAGCTGTGCGAGCCGCCAACTTTGTGGTGGAGTTTAAAAAAAACCAACAAGGTAATTAATGATGCATCTTTTTGCATAGGGTCCCGTGGTGACTGACAATGGGAATTTCATATTGGACTGGAAGTTTGACAAGGCCCACAAGTGGAACGAAGTGAACACAGCTATAAAAATGATACCAGGTAATCTCTCAGATTAAAAATACCACTGAATTCCTGAGCTCTGGTCTACATTGGAAACAAGTCACCATTTGTTAATGGTTTGTTACTTTCACATTTGAAACAATTTACCGAGGGCTCTCCATCAACTGAGAATTTGGAAATCATGAGTGAGTGTTTATTTTCACTTCCTGTTGCTTAAAAAAAAAATCTGCTCTAGGAATTGCTTTGGGGGAAATCCTGTGTCTAGTGTTATGCAGGAGGTCAGATGAAATTAATTACCACTGTGGTTCCATTTAGCTTTAGCATCTATGAGTCCATGAAGTTATACTGGTATAACTTTTGGCTATTCTTGACTTGGAATGAATTGACCCAGCATAAGAGTGCTTATCCTGCAGGGGTTTCTGTCACTTTAACTTTCCCAATATAGCTAAAACAACAAAACGTTTTAGTCCGCATGAGTCCTGAAACCGTCATTCAGTAAGAAACATAAGCCCTTGCTGAACTTTAAGCATGAGAGTATTATGCTGCTACTTGAATGCTTAAAGTTAGCCAGTGCTTGAGTATCTTGTGTGAGATGTCAGTTACATGGATTTCCATTGATGTCAGTGACTTTAGAGCAGTGTAACTTCATTCAGAGAACTAGATCCCAATCTTTTTTGGAACGTTCTTTGCGCCATTTCAGGTAGAAGCGCCTCATGGCAATGTTGATGGACTCTTGGGTTGGGATTCTTCAAAACGTTGAAGTCCCATTGAGAGTTGGAATGATTTGTATCTCTGAGACCTTGTCGGCAAAGTTGACATGATCATGAAGTCACAGGTGGGGCTGTGATGTAGGGGGTGCATCTGCATAGCTGCTGGGGAGCGTGAGTGCCAAGTGGGGTAATGATCTTAACTAAGATCATAGGTACATACTTAGGTGCCTAGTCTGAGTCACAACTTGTGCTGCTACAGCCACAGACCTCAATCAAAGCACATGGCCTGAGCTGGGAATTCCACTCCCCATCTAAAGTGCAGATGCTTTAGGAAGAGGAATTTTGGTTACTGTTGTGTAGCTTACAAAGAATTACTCATATGACTCTTTGTGCGTCGTCAAAGTAAAATACGAAACTTGTATATTTCAACTCCCAGTCAGAAGCTTGAGTGCCTTGATTGTGATTTAAACTATTAGTTAAGAAAAAGTGATAGCCTTAATTACTAGATTGTCCACCAGGTGGCAGCATTGTTTCATTCATCTCTTCAGAAGGAAAGTTGTGAGAGATGGGACACAAGTAATTTAAACTTGATTCTGCAGCCTAACTCCCTGTGAGTGGCAGACTTGTGCCAGCCCTCTCTCATTTTCCATAATCCACACAATTTTTGCATGTAATCAGGAAACTAGTAGTTCAGGCATAAATGTAAATTTTTGAGAATTTTGCAAGCGCACACAGTTTTTGAGTGTCCATGCATGTGCCCACACTTGCTAGTCACTCTCTATCACTGAGCAAATGGGGCACTCTTCACCACCACCCTGTGGCACGCACACAAACTGCGCACTCAGGGTCTGACAGCAGGCAAGCCATTTTGAGAGGGCTGAGGCGCTGCTGGGTTCCTTGGCCAAACCACAGGCTGCTAACATGCACTAAGTAACTAGAGAGCTCCAGCAGGGTCTGCGTGAGTCAATTACAGCACAATGAGCAGCCTGTGCCTTGGGCGGCGAATCCAGCAACTCCCCACTCCCAGTGACAATCACTGTGGTTTGTCTCCTGTCCCACCCTTGCTGGGGGAGAGGAGAATTCAGAGGGGCAGGACAAGGCAGCCATGGCAGAAGAGGAGAGAGAGAAGATGACAGAGGAGGGAAAAGGAGGAAGATCATCCTGGGAGGAAGGTCCAGGTTGAGAGCTGGTTATGGTGTAATTAAGGACTCCAAGCTGTATAGGAAGGCAGCTTTCCTAAGCCCAGTCCTGCTCTTCTCCTTATTTGAGGTTGGGATCAAGGGTGCAACAAGGAGCCATGCTGGGTTATGTTTAACTGGTTAACCGTGATTAAAATGGGCTGGCAGGAGGGCCTCAGCTGGCTGGGCTGGAGCAGCCCCCCCCACCTGCCATGGCCGGCCTGGAATCCCCCCCCCCCCCTTCTCCCCCCCCCCTGCTGGCAAGGGGCTGCTCTGGCCAGGCTGGAATGCCCATTGTCCAGGGCCGGCCACATCCCACTGCGGATAAGAGCAGTTCTGGCTGGACTGGATCTCCCCCCACCTATGGCGGGTTGTGGGGGATGCTGCAGCCCCCATTGGTTAACTGTAACCAATAAGCCTCACCCATTAAGGATGAGTCATTGATGAGGCAAACTGGTTAACCTTTCATATCTCTAATCTAAAACGCAGACCAAGTGATCAAGATGCTTCCTCTAGACCTCTCTCTCTATTTGGCTCTTTTTGTCACTTGCTGCTGATCCAAGCAATCTCCCTGATTTTTTTTTTTTAAACATCCCTAAAAGTCTCAGGGCAAAGTTGGCATCTCTGCACAGGAATGTAAGCACTACCGAGCATAAAGTTTGCAAAAACCAGCCCGCAGGGTTAAAACCTTCCAGCAGAGTTTATATTTTACAAAGAACATACTAGCTATGCCCGGGTATAATTCATCATCTCCAATCCTGCAGGGTCTTATGCATGGGCCAGTGCAGCAGTCTACCTGCCAGCAGGGTACGTGGCCATGAAATGGGGTGTTGGGGAAGAGACTACTTGGATCCTAATTAGGGATGTTAATGGGTAATGCAGTACTGTGAGCAGCTGAGCAGGGCAGGAGAGCAGCCTTTGCCCTGTTTAATCAATTAACTGGTTAAACTTAGTGTTTGACCATTTAAGTAATTTAACCATATTTTACATCCCAAATCCTAATTGATGTTTGCTGTTGAAACCATTAATGGCAACAAAACCATGGTATATTGCATTTCTTAACCCCTTTTCATCCCACAGGAAAATTATACTGGTATACGAATTACGGGATCACTTCCACAGGACACTAAATGGCATCAGCTGGAGAAGGTGTCAGCAGTTTAACAGCACCAAGCAGTGCTGTGTACAGCAATGTGCAGCTGGAGATGTAAAGGGGAATGTCTCTTGCAGATCCCTGGCATTTGGTCATGGTGTCAGTAAAGTGCATCTGACTTTCAGTGCCCCAGGTGAACATAATTATATGTAGACCATTTAAATATAGGCCACTCATTCCTTGCTGTCAGGATGGGCACAGCAGTGTTGTTCCGGGAAAGGAGTCTGGAGGCTTGTAACAAATAGTGAACACCGCATTTCCCTGCATAATGCTGCTGGCTGCCGGGTGACTTCTTTCTGGTGCTTTTCCATTCATTTTTAAGGCCAGAAGAGACCGTTAACTCATCTAGTCGGATTGGAATTACCTGGAAAGCATCTACTTTCTGGACAGCCCTGAGTGCAGTCAGCTTGTACGATCTGGCAGTGAGCTATACGCTCTGCCTCCTGTAACTTGCTGTACATGGATCATCTGTGTTGTGTTGTTACAACTAAAAGTTATGGGTGAAATTCTTCACCCACTTAATGTCCATGGCAAAACTTCCATTGACACCACTGGGGATTTCACCCCAAGTTTTCACTGTTCCACTGGTTCTGAATATATTTTTCTGCACTTGCAGCCAACAGCCAGTTGATGTCAGCCTGGGGCCCCAGGCAGCGATGCTACTAAAAAAAAATCTAAATGAACTGGTGAAAGCCACCATGCATGACTCTGCGTCTAGTGTTCCACTGCAGGGAGCCGTTGGTTTCAGGTGCAGCTAGTGGAAATCTTGCTCCATGTATTTTCTGTTCTAAAACGTGCCCTGCGGCAAAAAGGCTGGCTGCTTGTAAGGTAGAGGAGAAAAAGAAACAGACCCATCAAGACAAGCACATTGGAATCCAAAGCTCCCACATTCTGTAATGTTTGTCCTCCCTTCCCTTGTATAGCTCACCGGTGCTGTTGTGTGTAAGTGTATTGTATGTTTGTGCAATGCTTGCTTCAGAGCATAATTCTCTGCTGGTTGCTGTGGGGCTACTTGCTTAGCCCCAGATCTTTCTGAGGACCACCTAGTTGTCTCCCTGCACCAATACAGAGACCCACAGACTTCAGCAGGGCTCTCCATGGGAGCAGGAGTCCTCTTGCACTGAGCTGGTTGCAAAGTCAGGGCATTAGCGAGCACTTCACTCTGTGTTCTGTTCAGGCCCATAAAAACAAGGAGCCTAGATCATCTCTCCAGTCTACTGTCCTCCCTAAGGGTGCATCTACACTGCACCGTAGCTCGAAATAAGATGTGCAATTTGAGCTACACAAATTGCATATCTTACTTAGATCTTATTTCAAAATAGCTTATTTTGTAATTTCGAAATAATCCGCTGTTCTGAAATGTCCCTTACTCCTTGGGGATTGAGGTTTACAGGGACGGCGGAATAGCGAGCCTGAAATATTGGGCTTGCTGGTAAGACGTGGGATGGCTATTTCGGGATAGCCTAACAGTGGCTAGTCCCATTGCTTCAGCAGAAGGTGCAAGAAATCCTGTAGTGGTGAATTATGGGTAATCTGCCAGTGGGAAAACTTTTCTTTAATCATTTCTCTCTGCCCCCCCTCAAATAGTGATGTCCGCTTATGTCCAAAAACATAAATGTCTAAGGCATGGGTTCCCAAACTGGGCGGCGTGCCCCCCCCCCGGGGGGGGGCATGAAGAAATTCCAGGGGGGGCACAAGGCAACACAGCCTCCCCCCCCAACTGTTTTTTATTATTTTTTGCTCAAGTTTTCAGGTTTTGCTGCTATTTGGGGGGGGGGGGGGAGAGTGTGAGGGTTTTTCAGAAATCAAAAATGGGAGCATGATGCCAAAGTTTGAGAACCACTTGTCTAGGGCTTGTCACTATAGGGACTGATTTTGTAAAGCCATGGTGGACTTTGAGGCCTAGGTCCTGAAATGTATGTATGTGCCTAAGACCCATTGAAATCAGTTGTTGTTACTTTCTAAATATCTTCTGGGTGTCTGTTCTGAGTGCCTGATTGGTAAATAATCATACAGTCCCTCGCTCTAGAGAGGATCGGAGTAGCCAGAGCAAGCTTGGCAGATGACATGGTTTGAGCCCTAACGTGTGTGAATATTCTGTTCTCAGGCGTGGTGGAGACAGGTCTCTTTATCAACATGGCAGACGTGGTTTACTTCGGCATGGAAGATGGTTCTGTCAGTGCCCGTGAGAAACTGGCCCTCTGACGCAGTCCAATCACACCATGCAACCTGCCTTCCAAAACAGCTGTCCTCATGGTGCCAACCTGACACGTTGCCTTAACGAGCAGCCAGCCCAGTCGCAGAGGTCGGGGCAAAAGGTCTGTCAGACTCCGCTGACGTGCTACTGAATGTCTTTTTAAAAAAAAATATTCTCTATTTTTTATTGTTCAGGAATGCTTTTTTTAAAAAGAAGAGTCACTTGAACAGAAGTTGCTTTTAACATTTTTATTTTGTTTGATAAGAAGCATTTACCAAAAAGGATACGTCTTACAGAACTTGAACCCTCTAGTTGCTCTGGTTGTTGGGAGAGGTGTTGTGGGAGAAAAGTGATCACAATGCATTGTTTTTATTTCGTTTGCTGGGAGGAAAAATTAAAGATGCAGCATGTAAAACAAAGGCATATCCAGTTGGGATTTGCTGATGCCTTATGGGAACCTTTTGGTTCAATATTTTCTCCCTTTTGGGTTTTTTTTTTTTTTTTAACATCATGATTTTTAAATAGTCCAGAATGCCTAGTTATTCTCCATGGGTGTGAAACTCAGCCCTGTGCAGAGGGCCGGAACAGAAGCATTGCATAGGCTTTTTCTGGTCCTCTGCATAGAAGTGAATTTCATTCTTTGGGCCAAACACTGCTCTGTTAAACCAGTGTCAATCCACAGTAACTGCCATGAAGATTCGTACCAATCAGTGAAGTTACTCCAGGTTGACAGTTGTGTAAACGAGCAGAATTGGAGCCTTGATCAAGTTTACAGCAATGTATTTGAGAAGTTGTCAGCAGTGCGTAGTATCTAAGCAGCAAGTCTTTGGGTTAAGAATGAAGACAGTGCGTCACATTGTACTGCTGATTGTTTCATGGGAGGACGGAGCGGAAAGCAAAGAAATATTGAGTCTTCCTGCCTGACCTGGATACAAATGTAGCAAGAGGACAAGGCAATCATCTGATGTGTCCTATTCCACCTAAAGGTGCTTTGCATGTTAGTGTCAAAAATGTGAGTTATTTCTCTGTATGTTATGGGCACTGAAATAAAGAGCTGTAATGCCATTTTTTTTTTTTTTTGCTGTTCTGGTTCTCTTTTGCAATGAAATATTTAATACCTACTGGGATGGTAAAATCGACTGTTATAGCTATGACTGTTTACACGTACTGAGGATCTGCTCCTATTTGTGTAGCTTTAAGGCCTTATGTAGGATTTAAATGGGGGTTAGGCTTGGGGCCCAGTTCTGTGTACAAGGGTGAATATCACCCACCTCGAATGCACAAGGTCACATTTGATTTCCTCTCTGATTTTATCAAAATATTTTTTTTGCCATAACCAAAGTAATCTGAGCAACATCTGTTTAGCTGCAGCACTTGCATGCAAATTCTGTGAAACTGAGTGGGAATTTGCATCTGCGTCTAAAAACTGCACATGTGAGTAAGATGTTGTTGCAGAAAGGTTATTTTGGTTATCTGAAACCTCCTCCTCCTTGGACACGTGTCCTATCCATTCTAAAACTGCCTTTTTGTTTTATACCAAGATGACCTGTGATTGAGCATTTCCAGCAGTGTAATTATGGTGCAATATTGCCTCCATTTGTGGGAAGAACCAGGTTGTAAGATACTATCATTGCATCCTCAGTTAGGAACTTGAAGTCAGAAAGAAGTTGTTTCAGATTGACTAAATGAAACTTTCAGACTCTTCACCCCTTTATTTTCCATACCATTGTAATAGCTAAAAAGAACGGACAATAAAGCAAAGTTAATTTAATTCCTACATAGGCTCCTACCTTGTTGCATGCTTTGCTTTCCAAAAAAGTGGTCTTTTGTGGGAAGGGGAAGTCCTGTTTTCTTCAGACTTTGATTTCCTTAAAACAAAAGGCTGCTTCCTGAAAATCACTGGGCCCCCGTATTTCACCATGAGCTTGATCACTGAGTCCAAAGGAAGGTGCAGGAGCAGGTGTCTTGTACCTGTTTTTGCCCTAACACTGATAACATCATGTGGATGTTTTCTTTTTCTGTGTGTGGTGATGGTGGGAGCAGAAGGAGCGGTGGAAACAAATGCAATAACACTACAGTACGGTTATATAGCACGTTACAACCGAGGATGTCATTACGGAGCATATTTAAGGTCACTCTTAGGTGCTTAAAGTCAGGAGCCTAAAACCATAATGAGGCATCTAAATCAAAGCAACCTCATTTTCAGAGGCATAAAAATCACCATGTTCATTATTTTCAGAGGAGCTCTTAACACAAGGCAACTTCTGTAGGCGGTTGGCTCTGGATGTAAGTGCTTAACTCTAGGTATCTGCTCTGAAAATGCTGGCTTCTCTCATAGGGTTAGAATCCTATCTGTTCGAGAGATGGGGAAACTGAGCAGAGATTACAATTACACCCGACATCACACTATTAACTGACAGAGTTGGGGGCAGAACAGAGCATAAAAAACATGTTTCTTCGCTTGCACCTCTAACCATTTCATCCACTGTCTGTGGATGAAACAACACTTTGCAGGGATGTTTTGCAAGAAAGAGAAAACTTGCTCTAAAAAGATGTGGTGGTTAGGCTACATCATTCTGTTTTTTATCAAAGAAAAGCTACTCCGTTGTTCTCAGCCTGACCCAGTGTACATGGTTATTGACTGGGTGTGGAATCAGACATGATACTGCATATCATTACTGGCAGGGCCAGCTGAATCAAAGACATGATGCTACAGACGCAACTTTGCCTTTCCTTGCTGTTGTCAGGTACTTGACTATAATCGGCCTCTCTCTGTGTTTACTCTCCATCCAGTGTAGTAAAGGGGATTTGCTTTTGTTTGCACAATTGAACACTTTCTTCAAATGGAGCTCAAAGAGAAGAACCCCACTGTAAATGCAGCAGACCCAACAAGGGGTTTGCCAGAGGAAGGCGGAGCAATGGGTCTACCAAATCCAGTAAACATCTGATACTTCATGGATTTAAAACAGATCAGTGACCCTTCAGACCTCAGCTGTATCCCATGCATCTGGGCTTCTCACCTCCCAGGCATCGAGCACCATCACTGGAGACCCCATTACTACATGGCACTTAAACACATGCCTAACATTCATTACGTGATACCTCCCAGTGCCTTCCATGGGACTTGTGTGTTGAAAATCAGGTGCAGTCTCAAGTATCATTCTGAAGTGGGCCTGATGTGAGTGTTGAGAGCGCACAGTAGCTTGTGAGGGGGCAAGTCTATGGTTGGTTGTATAGGGCTGTCCATAGTGGTGGAAAAAATCTCCCTGACTCCCATATCAATGGTCCATATTAGTGTACGCACAGTAACACGTGCTCAGTGACCATGCTGCTGCTGTTAAAATTACCCAGCCCTCTTTCAGATTGGCCTCCACCACTTCTCAGCAGTGGAATCCAAAGGCCAAACCCACTGTGTCTAAAGATTTCCATTTTTATGTAGTAGCTTATAGACGTGCTGGCTGTTACCTTTGGAGTGAGTGTCCCTTGTTCTTGTATTCTGGGAAAAAGCTAGAAACATTGTTCATTTCTTTACCTGAGGGGCTACGGAAGGCAGTGGCTGGAAATAGAAGAAGAAAGCAAAGTAGTTATCAGCGGCCCAAATAAGGGAACAGCAAATGAGAAATTAACTCTGAAGAATTCCTCCTGAAAAAGTCCAACAACACTAGCCAAAGCATTCCAGAGCCCTGTATGCTGCCGAATAGGTGATACACCACAGGAAACCTTTGCCATTCTCCTAAGGTAAAAAGTCTTTAGATCAGGCCATTATAACACAGGAAATTCAAGGCCCAATTGGGTGACTTGAAAGTTTTCTGGACAGGGGCCTTTCCGGTCATGTTCTAGAACCTCTTTGAAGGGCGGCTGATTTGAGAAGTAGTTTGAGTCAGGGGAGTCTGCAGAATATATTGTTTTTTCTTTTAGAAGAGTCCTAGTATCCATAATATCTAACACCTGCACAGGAAGGTACCAGGGTTTATTTTAGCCCAGTCTCCTGAGCGCAAGTTATACCTAACCCAGCTTCCCATGCCTGGATGTGCTGGGTTGGTGAGAAGCTGCAGCTGTTCAAACAGGGGTGGTCTAGGGGTTAGGATGCAACTTGGGGATTCTGGTGGACTAGGTTCAATTCCTGGTTCCACCACAGCTGTGTGTCTTGTGTGACCTCAGGCAAGTCATATAATCCCTCAGATTCTGTTCTCCATCCTAAAATGGGGATAACAGCACCGCATCAGCATGGTGTGAGGATAAATGCAGTAAGGAGTGGAAAGTGCACAGAGGCCTGTGGGAAGCCATAGAAGTACCACAGATCAAGTAATAGCGGTAGTTGAGTTCAATCTCTTAGCACAACTTGTGTGGGACCCCAGAAAGACTCCTCTAGGGATATTTCCATCCATTCCCTTCTGCTTGCTGTCACCAGTTTCACGGGGAGGACAAAGCTACAGAGGTCTTTGAGGCCTTAGACAAGTGCTCCTCCTAAATGACAGTTTTTCAAGCATCACTAACGCTGATGCATGAGTGAACTTCCTCTGTAGGAAAAAGACAGCCATGTTTCAGGCTTTTTTACCTTCTCGCTCAGCCTGACTAATCCTTATCTGAAATGCTGCATGCCCTCATGTCGTTAGATGGTCTTTTCTCCCATCCCCTTTGATACATCTGTGCAAGTGTTCAGGGCCAGGTGTTCTATCTACCATCAGATCTGGTAAAGAAGCAGGGTCAGCTTGTGTATTTTACATAGGGACTGTAGTTCATTCTCACTTTCACGCTGTTTTTGTAAATGTTAATTGTATTAAACAGAGATGTGCTCCTTCCCACTGAGCAGGAAAGCCGTGCTTTTAGCCCAAAAGTCTAAGAGTGCCAACTTCTGCTCTCACTAACCTTGGTGTAAATTCAGAGCAACACCACAGATTTTAATGGGATTACTCTGGTCTTGAATCAGTGTAACCAAGATCATAATTTGTCTCCATGTATCCATGAGCAGATCCCTTTAAACTACTGCCTGTTTTTGCAGAGGCCAGCAGGGGGTGCTCCAAAATAGCATAACTTGGTCACTGGAGTCTACACATGCAGCCCCCACCACCTCAAAGTATAGGAGTTCATGGCTTGATGCTTCATGGCAGACCCCTAATTCCAGCGTGGTATTGCTGGGCCACCATGAAGGGGCTTCTCATCAGATACTGACCTCAGGCTGCTTCTCAACTTCATACGTGTCTAAGGGGAAGGAGGGAAAAGCAGCTGTGAGTCCAACACGTGTATGTTGTTACTGAAAAGCAACGTGTGTGTGAAATCAAAACCGGCAGCTGGCACGAATCTGTGCTGCGTGTTTGCTTCTCCCTATTAGTGACTCAGTTGTCAACTCCAGGGTGGAGTGACTCAGATTTTATTGCATCAGAAAGCGTACAATTTTGTCATGTTTTAGAGAAAGGTGGTTTAATGATACTGATCCAAGGGATGCCAGCAGAGATGAACAGGATCCCATTCTCTATATGAGTATTCATAATCCATTGCAACTCGTCAGTCCCATGCTACTATGGCAAACACTCTAATTGCAGGATACACCTTTTGGTGGCATTGTTCTCTGCTGCGAAGCACATCATACCTATGCTTCAAATAGGATCTTCACTACAAATATTTATATTTTCCATTATCTCAGGAGATTTTATCCAGAATTTATCAAGCACCATCCCACTCCAATACGCTTCTTCTCGTGGCTTTGGGATTCGATTTCAATTCTCTGTTATCATCCTTTGGTCCTTAGTGTTTCTTCAATGTTCTGATCATAACAGCATGGCCTGCTTGGGTTACAATACTTGCCATTGCCTTTCTCTGGAAGGAAACTCGTTAAAACCTCTTCTGAAATGGTGCGTCCATTTCTGATCCACTCCCCTTCATTACAAAATGGGGGTAATTCCCTGGACACATTCTTAGAAATAGAGTATTATGAAGAATTGGAGGGGAAAGCCCAGTTCAACAGTGGAAGAGAGGGCTGTGGGTTTTTTGTTTTGGGTTTTTTTTAGTATGTAACATTTTCTAATATGGCGCATAGAGTGTATCATTCAGAATTTTCTAGTCCATTAGGTTCCT